GCTTTTCGATACCTGAAGCCAAATGCGTGGTGAAAATGCAGATTGCTTTTTCTCTCCCAAGCTTTTTCTAGTTCCAGCCCACAGATCTTAAATTTCAAATTAATGGATGTGTTTTTAATTGGAAGATCCAGATATCAACATGAATTCATTTTAAGGCAGTTCTTCTCATTTTCCTCTCAACACAGGGGGAGATGTACCAAATTCCATCATCTATGGAACTAGCATTTCTCCATCAAAACTACAACCCAGGCTAATTTCTTCTACCTCTTATTCTTCTGTGACTAACTTCCTGATAAAAATCAATGGCAGATCTCTCAAGTCACCAAACTATCCATTTTTCCTTTGGGGATTGCCCTCTATCTCTCTCTGACTCTCCCATGTCCTACTTTCCCCTCCAAATTCCCAGGACCATTCAACCAACTTCCACTTTTATTCACCTTTATTCTGCATCCATTTCTGGCTTCAATAATCTGTCTCCACTCTTGCTCTAATGTTTACCTATTAACATCTGGTAATCAACTCATGCCCATGGGTAACTAACTCTTCATATTAGGAGAAGTATTGAGAAAATCATTTTATATACTTCTCAAAGGAATCATTGGACATAGGATTAGTAATAATACAGTATTCTCATTACGTAGATTAAGAAAAGCTGAGTAAGCATCACCTTTTTGGCGGGGGGAGGGACCTGGAAAGCACAGAACTCTATTAAATCATCCTGAAATAGAATTCTGAGACTCTTGACTGCTAACAAATACACAACAAATATTGTAATCTTAGACGCCAGAACATATAAATAAGTCATATGTACTTCCTTCTGTTTGCTAACAGTTTCTTCCAGCCATGTACTTTCAAAACAGCATTCTGTGTTATAAGATGACTCTTACTATTGCTTAGGATTGCTTCCACTTGATATGTGGATGAGACAATCTCAGTCAAGGTCATTTAGAGAAACTGTTTTCTCCCTCATTCGCCCTCCCTTCTCACTTACTACTGCAGACATCTGAATATGGATAGCAACTTACTCTCTCACAATTTAGCTTCTCCTGCATGATCTCACTGTCTGTTGCCATGGAAATAATTGCAACATCAAAATTTTAGTACTACAACCAGAGTACACTACAGTGGAATCATATTGGCAAACACACAGGAGGGTGGGTCTCTCTTTTGACAAGTGTCTATTATATTTTGGGATATTTTTTCCTACGCTTTTCTTTGTGTTTACTTAGATATCTAATCATACAATTCAGTCTCTCTTTAATGACTTATTGCGAGGTTCTTCAAGGCCATCAGAAACTAAAAGCATAAATGTGAGCAAATTCATGCAAAATTATTTACATGAATTTCATAACAGTTAAGGAAAAAAATTCCAGATAGTTTGCAATAACTAATAAACATAAGGTATGTCAATATTTTTTAAAAAAGCATCAAGAGCTCTCAGTCTTTACAAGCAAGTCTTCTAAAACTTTCTTAAGTCACTTGAAAATGAGAGTTTCTTCAATTGCATAATGGTCACATTAAGTCACCAAATGACTATTTAAGATGGAAACTGACTGGCTTTCAAACAACATTAATCCAGAAACAGAGTCCTATAATCCCAGCAGTAGCAAGTAGTCGTTGGGTGTTTGACTTTTTAAAAATCTTGAATAAGTGACTTTAGGAATTAAGTTACTTCAAATAGTTATTAAGTCTTTGCCTCCATTTTCCCACAAATAAGTAAATTCTTGATAGTGGTCATCATCCATGTATTCCTTCTTATCTACCAAATATAAAAAAAAATTCTTTTAGCATGATAAGGTAAAACTTACTTATTCATTGTTGATTTCATTTGCCAATGAAATACCACAGAGTGATATGATGTATCTGAACTGGTCCTGTTAGAAACCTGGCTTGTAAAATGGCTTCTACCATCATAATATATCTATTGACAGAGGTGGTTCTAGGGAAAATTAAGTAACCATGTTGCTTTGGGAAGCACTTTGACCTTCTCTCCCCTTCTAACTTCTTTCTAAATTCTTTTCCCTCAAAAAACAAGCAAACAAACAAAAAAAAACGAATGACCTCTCCAACTATCTGACTCACCAGGTTTTCTAACTTGAACTGCTCATCTGCACCACTAAGTTCTAAGACTCTTTCTTAATTCTGAATCTTTTCGTTCTCCTGTCAAAGCTACCTTTGTCTTTACCATAGCCCCTCTGTTTTCTTATGAAATGACAGGTTAAGGAGGCTTCTTTTAAAATATAAACCAGATGGGTCACTCTACTCTGTAAGCCCTATAGTATGGGCATCATCTCACTAGAGCAATAGAAAAGTCTTCACAAGCTCTACACAAAATAGCCCCAATACCCATCTAACCTCTCTGCCTGCTATGCCCAACCCAGGGCCTTGGCACACATCATTCCTTTCACCTGGACTAGTCTTCCCTCAGATGTCAAAAGTGCCAGCTCCCTCCCCTCTTCCATGTCTTCACGCTACTTTCTCACTGTGACAGTAGCTCATCAATCAATTAAAAATGGAATGTTCTCCATCAGCCAAACTGGTAGTCACTGTACCATTTGACTGCTTATTTTTCTTCATAACATTGATCTCCATTGGACAATTATATATTTAATTTACTGACCTGTTTATTTTTTCTTTATACCTTCACCCTCCAATGATGTCCAGTAAGTGAGCACCATTAGAGGGTTTTTTTTCCCTTCTGTGTTGTTATTTTATTCTCCAGTATCTACAATAGTCACTGATACATAATGAAAGCTCAGTAGATGTATACTGAATAAAAAATAAGTGGCTCTTAAACAAAAGGCAGGAGACAAACATCTTTTTGCTATTGAGTGGCATAAATGACTGAATAACATTTTTGAACAAACTGAACTGAGATGTAGTGAAAGAATAAGTCAGTTGGTGTTCATAGTTGAGACTTTCAGGATACACTGAGGTAGATGCAGGTCTGTTAGAATCCAAAACCGTATGCCGGTTGGGGATACGAGGAAGCAGAAAGTACAGAAGCAGAAGCCAGTCAGCAGAGACACCCGGAACAAATAAGTCTCAAGGCAATGTAGTTACCAAAATTGAAGGAGACTATGAGGTAGGTGAGGGGCACAAGAATAATGGCCAGTCCCAAGGCTGCTGCTACTTTTTAAAGAAAGTTAGTCTAGTTAGAGTTGTTTCTTATTAACAAGAGGGCATAGCTAGGACTGCCTTACTGAAATTTGATAGCTTAAGATGTCATCTCTTTTTGGTAGCATACATTGTATAAGTATCCATAAGTAAAATAAGTTTGTTCTCCCAATTGATGTATCTCTAAAAAGTGCTTCAGGGTCATATTGGGCTAATGGAGTGTTTTGAATCCATACTCTGTTATCCTTTCCAAGCCACAGATCTGAACTATTCTTTGCCTATCCTATAGAGCCCATCCAAGTTGAGCTTTAGATAGAACAGACTGACAGCTGTCAAAGGGGAGTAGGGTTGTAGGTCTGAGTGAAAAAGGTGAAGGGATTAAGCAAAAAAGAAAAAGGATTTATAGATACAGACAATAGCATAGTGATTACCTGAGGGAAAGAGGGAAAGAGGGAGGTAGAAGAGGGTAAAGGAGGGATAAATGGTGATGGAAGGAGACTTGGCCTGGAGTGGTGAACACACAAAACAATATACAGATGATGCATTATAGAATTGTACAGCAATGTCAGCCCAATAAATTCAATAAAAAGAAATTAAAATAATAAATTATAAGGTAATCTAAAAATTGCTCCTTTAATTTTATAAACAAAATGAGTAAGGGAGAAGAAGGTGGTGAATGTGAAACCTAAGGATGTAAAGACTGCCTCTGCAGGCGAAAGGGGCCTGGGTCAGATATGAGAGGAGCTCAATAGGGAAGCGTGGAGCACCAATGACCTGGACTTGAGCAGCAGATTTCCCCCTGGCTCTAGGCATGCGTCTCTTGTTCACCACAGATCATAGTGCTGACAACCTACTCTCTCCTGGGCTGTGCGACTGTGTTTTGTTGTGCCTATGCTATCATTTCCCTTAGGGTAGAAAAGGCTTTCTTTATACCTTTGTTACAAATAACAGTAGATGGAAGAGAAAATAAGATGACTGTATGATTTTATTACATCTGACACTCTTTACTCATTGAGCTTATCTGCATTTGTAGGAATTTGTGTTTGCAACTGCTGATCACCTTAACAGCTACACTATACCTATGAATAAATTATTACTCTCAGAGGCTTAATGACTCATCTAAACTGATACTAACAAATTTTTTAAAATGCATCAGGCCACCTTTCACTGGCTTTCCCTGACTGTGTTGATAGAGAGTGAAGACTTAGATGAATATTTTACCCAGTAAAAGACTTAGAGACTGTGGTTTACCTTATTTAAAATTTATTGGTCCAGCCTCCTTGGCACGGGACTCAAGTATTCCCTGTAGCTCTGCTTAATTGACCAGTGACATGTTGAGGCATCTAAATTCTGCAGGTATAACCACTCCTAGGAACCAATTTGATTTTTGATAGACAAAGAGCCCCAGGAAAGTAGATGCCTTTGCACCTGAGAAAAAAGAAATTCCGAGCAAGATAGACGTGCCCTAATCAGTATGCTCTGGGTATGACAGCATGCAAGAGAGTGATCTATTTTGTTCTGAACTCTGGCTCTGTCAGAGACAACCCACAGTTTACTAGAACAAATCAAATAAATGTATTTGACTCCTGTTTTCATGTTTGAAAACACTGAAACATATTTCTTTACTCAACTCTCTGATTCCACATGGCTAATTTTGACTTTTTCTTATAAAATGCTCTTGTTAGATGAAGATGCAAATAACAATGAAGGTAGAATTGTTTTCAGTGCTTTCAACATTATGAAAAGAATCATTTCTGCACGGATATGATAATATGGTAGGTGTAATTCAAAAAATCACAGCCCCCCCAAGCAATCTGGAAACCTTGACTGTGCAGTCGGAGGTCAAATATTAAAATGCACTGTTGTCCCCGTTCCTGTTACAGGTACATGTGACAGCGCTGCAGCTATGAGTGGAATTTTAAGGGGGAAGTGTGAAGAAATTGACAGCTCCTCACTCTGTTCCTCTGTGCAGGAGTCAGATGATGAAGTTTTTAGCTGTGACAGTGCTGACAGTGGGGACAGCGTCAATTCATCCACTTCTAATCATCTCACTGGTGAGTATCTGAAGCTGTGTTGCAGCTTGTACTCCAGATTGTGTTGTATGGTCAATTCTTGGAGTTTCTGTATTTACCCACTGGCTTACACCTACTCGAGAGTTTGAAATATTCTGACTTACTTGCAAAACATGATATCATTTTGGTTAATTGTCTCAGTAGTGTACTTCTGTTCATCTCTATGGAGTGTGAGAGGCAGAAGTGATTTCAATCAAAGGTAAGCAGATAGAAATTGAAAATGATTTCATATGTATCTTCAGCTTTCTGAAATAAATCCGTTTTTTAAAAATCTAACCAATTGAGTGTTTCATTTGTCTGCGTCAGTGGATTAAGTACCAGCCTGCGAATTCAAAGGTCACTGGTTCTATTCTTGGTCAGGGCACATACCTGTTTTTCCAGCCAGGTCCCCAGTTAGGGGTATGGGAGAGGCAACCAATCAATGTATCTTTTACACATCAATGTTTCTCTCTGTCTCTTTCTCTTTCCCTTCCCCTCTCTCTAAAAATAAATAAATAAAATCTTTAAAAAATATAATCAATTGAGATCTTTTGAGTTTCTATACTGGTTAATGAGTTGTAGAATACTTGTAGTACTGAGTACAACAGATTTACTTCCTAGGTAAGAAAATGATGTTTGTTTTTCAAAGAATCGTGCACTGAAATTAAAGCCTTGAAATCCCTGAGATTCTATAGATGTTTAGACACTGGTAAATCTCAAACTCAAGGCCAGGTTCATGCACTACATCAGTGCAGTTTTCTTCATGTGTATACTTCTACTAAATAGTTAATGTGAACAGCATTATTTAGCTTAGCATGAAATGTTCTGACTTAAAATTCTAGCTATTTTAAATTGTATTCCTAGCATGCGTAAAAACTTTGAAAGAGATAAATTTTTACCAACATCTCCATGTCTACTCAATCCCAGTGATTAGGGGAACAGGAATCTCCAAATTAATTTTAGAAGAATTAATTAACATCAAGCAAAACAAAACTAAACAGTCAGTGAAAGCCCCATAGCATCACCCTTATGGGATGATGGGTATAAACTTCCTTTTGAAGCTGTATCCTGTAAGTAAAGGTGAAAATTATACAAGAGTTTCATCCCTCCCTTCATAAAGTTGTTTTTTTTCCCTAGCATTATTTTTCTGAGGCATTTGTTTTGGGGATTTTTAACTCACCAAAACAGACTTTTAAAATCCACACTGAAGTTTATACAGTGTGTCTTTCTGACCCCTAAAATTCCATTTTTAGTGCTCTTTTCCCCAAACCCCAAAATTCAGATGTTTGCTTGGTATTCATGAATTCTCCTTCATCACTGTTAGTCATATTTAGAACAAAAATAGAATAATTTATAAGAATATTTACCCTTTGTATTATTTATCTCTTGACTAAAGTGGAACTTGCTTTTATGAATTTGCAGAAATTATAATAAAATGAGGAAATAAAGAAACACTTAGGAGAAAGGAGATAAAATATCTGTTTTGAGAAAAAAAGTCTCTAGTTACATAAAAAGGCTATTGGCAGTCAGTGTATTATTTGTGGGGGGGGGTAAGTTTTGTTTGAGATGTATCTATAGGCTTTTCATCCCTTCCTCTATGTGCCTGTAGCCTTGTAGGGAGTACACACCTTGCTGTCCCCGGTGCTTAGAAGAGTACTGAGCACTGACTGATGCTTAAACTTCTTTAGTGAGCGAATAGATTAATTTTAGACAATTCTCTTTTTTTACACTTTTATTGTCAAATAAAAATTGTACATATTTACAGTGTTCAACGTGATGTTTTGATGTATGTACACATTGTGAAATAATTACCACAATCAAGATAATTAACATGTCCATCACCTCACACAGTTGTTTTTTGTTTGTTTGTTTGTTTGTTTGTTTGGTGGTGGTCATGAGAACACTTGAAATCTATGTGCTTGGCAAATTTCAAGTATATAATACATTATTTTTATAATTTCAGACTATATTTAAAAACTGGAGAGAATGACTCCACTAGCTGTTATTATCCCTAGAAAAGCAACAGTAAACATTTACATTCAAGATCCTCGGGAACACTCTATTAAGTGCATTTTCTTTGTACCTTGAAGAGCTTCCCTTCTCCAAGCCCTGGAGCATTCCAAGTGCTGCCTAGTCTTTTTTATGTGTTTTCCTGTAGCCACTCCTGAACAACATCATCACTAAAGACCCTTCTTCTTTGAGACACGACCTCATCTAGTGCAGTGCAGCATTTTCCACGTGACTGTGATTTTTTTTTTTTAACCTTCAGTGTGTGTATATCCTCTCAGTGTCTATACCTCTCCTAAAGTTACAAATTGACTCTCCTGGAAAAATCAATTGCAAGACTTCTATGCAAGATGCCTATTGATTTCTACAGCTTGTGAGTTCACAAAGTACCTATAATGTTCCTTTAAACACCATCAGGTCTTACAATTGTGGCTCAAGATTCTTTCCAGATGGAAATGATGTTCTGGAGGTTTAAAAAAATTATAGGTCAGGCGCTTGTAACAAGCACCTGAACAGTTTCCTGAAAGGGCAAAATTTGAAGTGGAGAGAGGTTTTATTTTGATAAAATAAACTATTTGATAATTGTTTTGACATTTGGTCATAACTTTCCTGTTTCATCACCATTATGTGAGTCTGTGGAGGAAGAGACATCTGTGTACAGAGGAGATGATGGGCCAGCAAAGAAAACAGCTGCAGAGTTTGATTAGCTTTTCCCAGCACTGGTGTTAATGTATTTCTCTGTGAATTTTCCAGGGTTTTGAGGGAACCATTTGCTGGTACTCCTCCGTAAGGAAAAGGAGATAAGCATCATTGAACGACTTGTAATGTGTGACCAGAACCATGATGTGGGATACACAGTAGGGAGAAAGAATAAGGAAGAATAGATGAAAAAGTGTGATCTAGGGGGGATTTCTGTTACTGTGAGCTCTTCTTAGCTGCCTGGTCTCCAATATAAAACTTTATTATTTTATAAAGTTGGGCAAATTGAAAAAGGAAACCCATTTAATTAATTTTTTTGAGAAGATGCAATGCTCTGTATCTAACAAAGACAAACAATACTAAAACGTCAACACTCATTTCGAATTCAAAGAATGTTAGAACTAGTAGGGCCTTTGAGAAAATCTAGGCTGATTCCCTCATTTTACAGATGTGGGGACTGAGGTCCAGAGGGAGTAACTTGACAAGAATCCAAACGTGAGCAAACAGCAGAGGACTTTACTACAGATCCCTATGGTCTCTGATGGGTCTGTTATACCACTGACTACTAAGTAGAGGGACCCAAGTCATCAAATGAAGGGCATGCTTGTATCTTTTGTGCCAGCTCCTCTTAGAAACAAAATAAATGAGCCTATCTTTTGATAAAGGTAATTGGCATTTTATCTCCTTTTGCCTTTTTGTTTCAGTTGGTTTCTGGTGAAAGTGCTGATATCTCCTGGATGTAATATAGTGCCAGTGATGAGTTTATGAATAAATTCAATGAGCTAAAGCAATAGTGGCCAGAGAATTTAATTGAGTGTGAATAAACAATTTGCTTTCCCCTTTCTGTAAGTGACAGGGCAGATTGTTGAGCCTTTCCTTGTGTGTCAGTGACATTGATGGAGATATCTTACAGCAAACATGTTGTTTTACATTTACATGAAGGAAATTGGTCTGTCTTGGTGACATAATGCTACTTGTGATAATGTGAAAATGTTACAATGAAAATAGGGGAGATGAAGTATGCAGCGCTCACCTTTAATAGAAACTAACAAATAGAGGGGTATTTCATTTATTTTAAAAATAAAATCTTTTGTACATTCTACTTTTGCCAGAGGGGTGAATGGGCATCCTGGACTCCCTGGGAAAAAAAAGATAATGATATCTTTCCGTTCTCTGAACTCCAGGACCCTACTTTACTTGTTCAATAATTCAAGACCTCAGAAACCCACTTACCTTGCATTTCGATTAGAGTCACTTAGTCACAGCTTCTGATTGAATGGAGTAATTATATTCCATTTGCTGGCTAGGTACGGAATGGCTTTATATTTGCTTATTTGTTTTAAGCCCTTGAAAACGTAAATTTAACTTTAGACTTAAAAGCATAATTAGATCAAATTTCAAATAAAATTTTGTATATCAATATCATAGCGAATGTAGAAAAAAACACTTATCACTTGTGGTTTTAACTCTCAGTTAGCATCATAAAAAACTAAATATAAAAGTAGCCTTGGTGCTGTTAATGATATTGTTTCTCACATCATTCAAGGAATTAGGATGTATTATCATGAGATCCAAAATGCATCATAGAAAATCTTCTAATTTCTCACATCTATTATTTACTCAGGATGTTCATAGGTGGAATTGATGTTGTAGCTATATTTCACAAAGAGCACAAGTATTAAAGTTGCTATTAAATATTAAAGATACCTCCTTTTACTTTATTATGAGAATATTTTCATCTGCCTATAATTTGTTTACAAATATTACTTAGAGTATTTGCATTTTATAAACCTCTCTATAAGAATCTCATTTTTATTTTGGGGTCACCTAGGAGTGGTCATGACAATAAATAAATGATTGCCCAATTGCAAAATATCATGATTTTTAAAAGGGGGTCCAAAGGAATTTAGATGATTAATATTCTACTAAACATTTTCAAAGTACCTTATCTTTTGGCTTTGGTTGAATACCCAAGATTGGTTGACTTTATACTTGTTTATGATGGTAATGATGAAATCATAATGCCTGAAACAAAGGTCATTGTGTTTCTGAAAAGATTTTAAAATTTAACATGCAGATCAGGCAATCTGATGCTTCCTGACAGTTCAAGGGAAGTATATTAGTGAGCATGTGAATGCAGAAAAAAAATTAAACCTGGTCCTGCTTAAAAATAAATAAATAAAAAGGAAAGGTAAAGAAAAGTAGAGAAAAGGTGTCATTTGGTGCTATTTCCTAATTGGCTGCAATATTTAACCATTTCATTATAAAAAGTACATGTTTGTACTCTGGAAATATTA